TCGATCGTCCAACGAGAAATTTCGTAAATAATAATAAAGCCGTTTGTCTGATTTGAAGGAAGCGAAACGTTTTCGATTGAATTAAATTAGGTCGGGGAAATATTTTCTTTATTTCGAATTTACCTGGACTCATTAATTCCTAATACCGTTAATTCCTAATATGGTTGGTTAACCTCACCTCGATCCCATTGTAAACCGCGATCTCGTTCCCGGAGCAATAATTCAGGCTGAAGTTTCGTTTCTGTGGCGCGTACTCCTGATCCGGCTCGTTTCTGATTATCTTCATATGAACGTAGATCCTCTCCGACGATCTGCCCATGAATTTGTAACTGCACAAAGTATTGGGCGGATACCAGCTCTGCAACGACTTGATGCTCTCCCTCGTCCTCTCGCTGCTCCTGTACACGAACTCGCAATTCTGATCGTTTCCAAACGCGTGCGCCTCCTCCGTTTCCTGGAACGACAATTGGAAACCGTCGTGCATCACGGTCCCGTCCTGCTCCGCGAAGAACTCGACCACGATGTTCCTCCCCCTCGAAAGGATCCGTGGCACCTGGCCCTCCCCGCAAAACTTGGAGATCTCGAACATCTTCCCGTCCACGTTTTCCAACAATGTCAGATAATCGCCCACGCAACTGGTGCTCCCCAACTTCTCCGATCCTCGCCCCTTCTTTCCGTATCGGTACTCGGGAACCTTATTCAAGGGAAAAAATATATGTATGTATATATATAATTCAATGTTTATTGATTAATTTAATCAATTCTTTAATTTAATTTCATCGGCTCGATTCGATCGAGTTGATATAATCGTATGGATTCGCGCATCGTATCTATATTCTTTGCGCGCGTACAGAGAACGTTTAATCAACTTGCTCCCCGCAAGGAAACTTGGCGGGAACAGTTTAGAGAGAGTTTAGTTATTAGTTATTGCATCCTTGGTCGGGAAATTAAAGCGCGACAATAATTGGCGAAATAATTCCCGCCTTCACTTGACTAGGAATCATCGACGACGATAGTTGAGAGAAGGAAACGAATACAAAGGAACAAAATGAAAATTGTTTTAAGACTGTTTAATTAATTCAATTAATTTTAATATCTTAACCCTTTGCGCTCCAAGCTGACTCTCTGGCACTACTGGGATTGATGCAATTTGAATGGCGACGATATTTATTTATGTTTGATAAATTGGCTCCTAAGCTCTTTACGTATAATCTTATGAGATGTAGAATAATATATTATTAAATAGCTAGATTTTTTATCTCAAATTAGACCGTGATCGTGAGTCGAAGTTTTTGAGATTTGTAAGCATGGAATACGGTAATGAAATTAGTTGAAGCGAATTTGATTTTTCGTTATTGAATGACAAAATTACTTCTATTCTTAAAGAAATTAACGATAGAGAGAGCAATGATGAACATAGAGATGAAATAAGAGATATAAGAAAAATAAGAATAATGGATAGTGAATGTGAAAGCAATCAAGTGAAGATATCGCAGAAGACACGGAAAATTCCAAATGGATGCATAGAATCGGAAAATATATCGCGAAGAATACAATTTGTAGGACCTCAAGTATCTTCAAAAAAATAAATGAACCATTAAATTTTTTAAAACTATCTTTTACCGATGAACTTATTAATGAAATAGTGCTCTACTTGCCCTGACAAACCGAGGATTCATCCTGATAATTACTTCTTAAAATATCACACAAAACAATATTATAAATTTCAATATTGTAAATTTTGTTTCTTTATATGTAAAGATACATAAAATATTAAAATATAAAAGTTTTACGCGTTAATTTTAATATCTTATTAAAATTTTAAAAAAAAATTTTTAAAAATTTTAGTATCTTATTAAGATAATAATATCTTAATTTGTGCGTGAAATCGTTATAAATTAGCTGTAAGAAACCGAATACGCTGATCCGAGTCTGGAGTTGCTGAATTTCGACCGAGCGAAACAGGCCTGGAGTGCAAAGTATAAATATTATCTCGAAAGAAAGAAAGAAAGAAAGAAAAGACACGACAATCCTTGAAAAATCAAAATCAAAATGCCAACTCACCTGCAACGCGGTCATCTTCTCCTTGCCCGAGCCTTTCCTCGCGACCTCCGCGTGCCCCCCCATCCCATCGCTCGGATGTATCCTCGCGTCCGATACATCCCCCGGATCGGGGGATATATTCCTCCTTATCGAGT